GGCAGCCCATGGCTGACCCTGGAAGCTGTGGGGCCAACTGACACAGGGGTGTACTCCTGCCTGGTGGCCAACGAGGTGGGGGAGACCAGCAAAGCCTTCCACATCCTGGTGATGGGTGCGTGGCTGCCCCCGGGCATTTGGGAGGGACAGATGGCCAATTTTTTGAGAGCAACAAGGGGATGAGCTCACCCACCTCACCGTGCACCTTGCAGAGCAACCCCACGTTGAGGCTGCACCCCAGCCCACTGAGATGTCCATCGCCGTGGGCACCCCACTAGAGCTGACGTGTGTGGTGACGGGTGTCCCCATGCCCGCTGTCACATGGGAGAAGGACGGACGGCTGCTGGCAGGGCCCTGGCTCATGTCAGGGAATGAGAGCACCCTCCACATTGAAAGCACAAAGGTAAGGGGCTCCTCTTTCTTCTCCTCACCTGCATTTTCTTTTCATGCCTCAATTTTTTCCTCTCCTGGCTTTGTGTAGATGGCTGACGCTGGCTTGTACACCTGCCTGGCCACTAGCCCTGCCGGGGAGGATAGTAGGAGTTTCCACATCAGCATCCAAGGTACTGTGGCCCAGCGGTACAGCGAGGAGGGTGATAGCAGGGAGTGCTGCGGGGTGGTTGGAGCTCTGGGGGACCAGAGAGCTGGAGCAATCCCTGCATCCCTCCTTGGGATGGCTGGGGGGTGGATGGGGAGAGCGGTGGGGACTGTAAGCCTCCAAAGCAGGGGTATGGAGCACAGCATGATGGCCCTGAAGAGTAGAGGGGTATGTATGACTTATGGGGACAGGTATGGGGGTGCCCAACCTGCATGGCACCCCTGACCCACCTGGCATGCATCCCACAGCACCTCTCAGCATCACGAGCGTTGCAGAGACCCCCAGCATCACCGCTGTGGTGGGAGGGGAGCTCATCCTGGAGTGCCCTGGGGATGCTGTGCAACCCCCCCACATTGAGTGGTACCGGGAGGGCTCCCTGCTGCAGGTACGTGCGATGGGACCTGGGGCAGTGCATGGGCAGGGGCTGGGATGCACCTTCACCAGCCCCATCGCGCTCATGGTGGGGGTGATGCGGGGAGAGCTGCTGATGGGGGTTTCCCGGGGGTGTTAGGAGGATGCCCGCAGGCAGGGCCTGGCCGAGGGGGGCTCACTGA